TTGTTGGACTTGCATGTAATCCCCCCCCCAAAAATGGGGGGTGATGCTGCTGCTTAAAACAAAATCAAAATACTACAGGACACAAATGTAGGAATATAAAAGCTCAGCAAACAACAGAACCAACATCCAGATTTTACATTTTTAAATGCACACTAAAAACTCAATATCAACAGGAGACATGAGCATGCATGAGCATATATAAATGCACAAGTTCAAACCAACATAATATTAGCAGTCTTTCCATTCGTAACTTACAACTTCAGTAGTATTAGCAACATTTATTTAGGCATACAGACAGCAAAAACAGAATCTAAAGTGGTTTTTCAGGCATGAAGTAACTGCTGTTTGTCCCAGCACCTCACCTACCATTTCATCCCATTCAGTAAGGCAATAATAGCATGGGTATGAGTCCTAACTCCTGCTCTATTGGCTGGGCTGGGATATTTATTTTTAAACAACAACCTAATCACAAGCCAGAAAATGAAATCCAAACATAGTGCATAGAAGAGTCTAGAACATTCCACATTGATATTTGAAACACTCAGCATCCTTTGCTTAGAGCACTGAACACTTGAAATGACTCTTTTGAGCTCAGAATGCTTCCAGTTTAGAACATTTTGCACACCCCAGTCCTAAACCTGATCCATTTCTAAATTTATCATTATTATTATTATCATTATCACTATCATCATCATCCTATCCTTCCTCCATAAGTCAGGTCAATTGGGCTAATATGAATGACTGGTCCAAAGTCACCCAGTAAGCTTTTATGTTGAAGATGGACTTACACCTGGCTATGTCCCCAGTTCTCTTATATCCTAAGAGCTATACCACATTGTCTTTCTGATATAATCCAGATCATTCTACCAGTTTCCACCTGATAGATTTGCCTAGTGATAGGATTTCACTTCTGTTCTTTGGGAAATGTTAGGTTTAGATTAAGTTAGAGTCCATGCTTTTTCATACCTGTTTGGAGAACATTATTATTGTCCTGCAGGTGTGTCTTGCCCTCATTCTCTCCTTTGCCTTCTACACTGGGATTGTAGTGGCGAGGCTTCATTAACAGAGATTTCCTTTTATTGACTGGAACTTCCAAAATCTGCTCTTCAGCTTTTCTCTTCTTAGCCATGGAGCTTTTGTAGGCACTGCATTTATACAAAAGCTTTTAATAACGGAAGAAAGCAACATGAAAGACATTGCACAAGAAAAATATGATAACCAAAGTTCTAAACTGATGGGCCTTGTACAGGCGTGTGTATGTTTGTCCATGGACATATGTGTGCATGCTTAGTTTTAATGGACGGAACTATAGATGAAGAATCTTTTCAGAATATTTTATTTTCTAATGCAACCAAAAGTCTACAAAAGCATAATATACATGTTTTAATAAAAATAATAATAAGCCATCCTTAATCCTGAATAGAACATATGTTGATATAATCTCAGCTCTTGACTGTCCAGGAACAGATAAGGAGACATCAATAATCTTTGCTAAGCCCTAGAAAGAGCTAATATGAAAATTATGCTTCCAGGTGAATGTGTCAAATTTCTTTGTTTTGCTCAGATGAGTAAAATTGAAATATACCAGTTTGAATGGTTTGTTCTTTTCCTCATACATAAGAATCAGTGTATTGAGCTTTAGAAATGGACAAAGAGGTGAAGTGATAGAGATTCATAGCAAAGATACATTTGGACTCTGATCTAAATCAGAAGATAGAACCAATCGTCCACTCAGCACATGACCTGCAATGCAAGATACTGCTGTAGCACACCTGAGCCAGCACCTGTAAAGGCCCAAGTCTCACTGTCATGGTTAAGAAACCACTCTAAACAGTTATTCAAAGTCTGTTTCCCTGCCTGTAGTTTTCAGTCGCTGGGTTCTAGCACTGAAATTAAAATACATGAAATACACACACACACATATACACACAGCACACGCACATTATTGCATCTTGTATTTGACATTCTCTAAGACATTTAAAGATCACTGTAATAATCGACTTAATCTCCTCTTCTTTGCTCAATATGCTCAGTTCTTGCAACTTGTTTTTCATAGGATTGGGTTTTTAGGGTTCTGGCTATTCTTTTCTAGACCTGTTCTGATCTATATTATGGCTATACAGGTCAGATCTCAAGAGAATTGTTTTGGAGACTAAATAGATTTATTCTGCATATTCAATTATAATATGCTATATATTTGCAGAGTTCTTTCCCTGTCTTTATAATGTAGAAATATACAACCTGAGACCACAGACCCACAAGTTGCTATGAAAGATTTGGAAGTAACCCCCACAACTCTTTCAAATCTTACCAGCAAAATGCAGGGAGTAAACATATTAATTGCATTTAATTAATAAATTTTATTCAATTTAAATGAAAATGAAACCATATTTAATATGCATTCAGGTCCCATTCGCTTCTTTATTTTGGCTTCACTTTCTGGATTGTGGTAGCAACACTGCATCAAATGCAGCAGCAACTTCCAAAAAGAATTAGGTGAATTTCCCACCTAACAAAGTATATGGGAGTGTTCCCCAGGATTGATTAAAAAACAACAACAACTATGTGACACATTTTACAATAGCATAACACTCTTTTATTATATGTTAATAAAATTGAATGGCTAGAAATGAGTATCTGTCAGCCTACAGGGCCATAAAAAGACTTGGAAAAAAGTGTCACCTGTTGAAAATTCTACATTTACTCTGTTTAAAAAAAAAAAAAAAATCAGAAGCAAGATTCATTATCTGTTGTTCTCTCTCAGTTATGCAATAGCATTATATCTGTCACAGATGAAAAATTGCATTTATGGATCAGGGTAATCCACTCATTGGTTGCTAGACCCCCACTCCCCTTGGGAGTATCACAATTCTACGTGTTACCACTGGTTGTTAGATTTTGCAGTTGGCTCATTGATCTAGCAGAAAGATTTGCGAAAATCCCTGTATCCAGACAGCTCCCTGTTGGTTACACATATTATGAGGCTCAACAGCATAAATTCATCTTTAACTTATGTGCACTAAATTGGCTCCAGTTTGGATTGTTTTGGATGGTGGCATATGACTAACTTAAGCTTTTTACTTTTCTAAAAAAAATCCAAGTTGGCAAGGCTTCTTCCTGGCAGCCCACCATTACAAATATGAAGGACAGGGAAACAAACGTGAAGATCTTCACTGTAGCAAAAGTAAAGCCCAACCAATATGCATCTTAAATGGTAAATTCTCTTGGTCTGTCACAATGCTGCACAAAGTAAAAGACCAAAATAATGGATATATTCCAGTTCCTCTATTTAAAATTGCTATGGTTTAATGTGGCACATTTATCTACCGCAGCAAAGTAAATGCCACTAAGCAGTAATGATGTTTTCAGTGTACATAATTCTAGGAGTACATGGCATACATGTAAAGAATTGTAACTGGCTGTATTGGAAGAATTAAAATTCTGCACCAAATTGTGGTTTTTTTCATACATACACACACACACACACACACACATATATATATACATACAAACATTTGCCAATTAGGCTCTGCTAGTTAGAATAGAAATACAAAAGATGCAGGTTTTTTCCGGTTTCATATGCAAACTGTATGCATATAACAACAAATATACTAGTTTCAATGGAAAATAAAAAAAGAAATATTCACTGCATTTATAGTTCATGATCTCATGGTTTTTAATCCTTTATTCTACTTGTTACTATAATAACATAAAAATCTGTTGGGCTCCCATTTATGCATCCAAGTGGCTGCCCATGAACTTTGATATTAGGCCTATTTATGAAAGCTTGAAAATATTAGTTCCTACTCATGTCAATTTTCTTATGAATAGAAGGATCTCTACAATCCAAAGAAAAATAGACAGGTTTTATATTGTCACTGATGCTAGGCATGATTGGAAGAACTTGAAGACAATTGCTTTTTTGTTCTCTTTGATCTACTTTCTTTCTTATCCGGATTAATATTCCATGGGTAAAACTATAGCTATCTGATATTGATGGCTGGTGGGCGGCAGATGGTGGTGGGAGAATAGATGACTATTAGTTTCAAACTTCTCTCTGCTAAGGATACCAAGTATTCTAAATTATTTTTTCCTCAGACTGGAGGAAAAGATTGAATGTGTTTTTGATAAGTAATCGAAAACGTTAAGATGTCCTGTACTTTTTAAACTGATATAAAGATAATAAACATGTAAGAAGTTGGAAATGTTTCACAATACAGTAATGATAATAAATTTGCATGCACGTGTGTGTGTGTGTGTGTGTGAATCATGTGGTCCATCCAACTGTGTCAGTAAAATTAGGTGGGAGGGAGTACCTAATAGCCCAGAAGTAAGGGAGACAAGAATTTCCACCAATGAGAAAATCCATATTCCCCAAGCTCTATAGGGCCTGCCACATTTCTAATTGCAAATGGGCTTCAGAGTGGTTCCTCTTGCAGTGCAAGTGAGCTGAAAGTAAATTGGCTCAGTTGTCCAGTGGGAATAATGGTATGAGATCACAGATTTATAGGAATGGTGTAAATACCACAGGTGCATTTGCCTCTTGTGTATTTATCTAGAATTCAACCCTTGAGATTTCCATTTTGCTTCCACTTTCTATCCTTTCCTTTCCCATCTCCTGTTGCTTCCCTTCTTTTTGATTTCATTACATCTTATTCCTTCAAATTAGTTTGATCCTAATCTGTCAGTTTAAATCTGAAGCGTGGTTTTGAATTTCAACTAGATTAATACTTTCTGGTCTTGCTTTCATATAACCCAGTTATCAGTATGTGATTTCCCATCCAGAATATGGCAAATATATATTTAATCTTTCTACTTTGAAGTGGGAAGTCATTTATGTTCCTACTGTCATTTGATCACCAAGAACACACAAAAAATGGGAAACCAACCATATCTATTCATACTTTTCAAAAAAGAGGTCTGTTATAGCTGTTCTTGTAGCTCTTATTTGCGTTCCTACAGTAATTAATAACATAATGAGAATAAAGTCTAAAGCTACGCATATACAAAAAGAATGGGTTTACTTTTTTATCAACACTTCGTATTTTAAAACAATATTGCAGTGTATCCTGATGGTACCAAACATGTCGTATAATCTATTTATTATGGTACTAAATTTTCTGATGGTAATGTATGCTTTCCACAAAATCTACCATAGTTTGCCTTCTGCTAGGGAATTAATTAATTAATTCCAATAAAGGGATCTTACCTTGGGTATCTCCCTTTGTATATGAGGTTTAATTATTTATATCCATACCGCCTGCATAGCAGAGGGAACCTTATCCAATTGGTCTGTAGCAAAACTGTCTTCTCCCAGAGCTTTCATCAAAACTACTTTACTACTATTCATTTTCAGATTTTTGATGCTTTTTCTGAGCTCTCTATAAAAGCTCTCTATAAAAGGAAATGCCAGGCAGATGGGAGGAGGAGGAGGAGGAGGAGGAGGAGGAGGAGAAGAAGAAGAAGAAGAAGAAGAAGAA